GGATTTTCAGGCTCATCCCATTCCATGTTCAGGGACACCTCCCGCTATCCCAGGTGGCTCCAACCTTTCCTTGGACACTCCCAGGGATCCAGAGGCAGCCACAGCTTCTCTGGGAATTCCCTGTGTCCTCCCTCCAGCCCTGGGTGTCTCCATGGATCCCTCTCTGCCCTTGGAAAACTCTTCCCAACTTCCTACCCCCGCCCCCTCCCCGATTGGATCCCGCGGAGCTCCCAAACCGAGGCTGCAAAATTCCCTCTCCCCCATCCCCCCAAATATCCTCCCGAACCCTTTTCCCAGCTCTTCCCAACCTCAGGAATGACTCTGGAATTCCTTCTTCGCTCCCGACCCCTCGATGTCCCAAAAAAGCCGCCTCTTAATTAGGATTTGGATTTATTTTCCAAGTTTTCCGCCTCATTTACAGTATTTTACAGCTCGGGGGGGGGGGGGGGGAATCCCAAACCCATCCCACCGGGATTCGGGAACCGATCCCGCTCCCCGCGCCCACCCAAGGGCTCCACCCCTTCCCCCCATCCCTAATTCCCGCCCTCTCCCCGCCCCTAAATCCCGGGATAACCAGGAGGGATCTCCCAGGGAATCACGGGGGAGAGGGAGGGGCAGGAAAGCTCCGGGAACGATGGGGGCGGGAAGGAGGAAAAAATCCCAAATTTTGGGGGATTTTTCCCGCGGGACGCTGAAGCTCCGGGTGGGGGGGTGAGGTGGAATTCCCGGCGGGAATTTTCCCGCTCAGTGCCCCTTCTTGGAGGCGCTTTTCCCGATGGTATTCCTGAAAAGCGTCACCAGCGGGGTCCGGCCCTTCTCCGAGCCCATGAACCCCCCGTAGCGCTTCTCCAGCGGCGATTCCCACCGGGATTTCCCCTCTTCCCGCTTTTCCCCCTCCTCTTCCTCGTCCCCGAGCTCCCGGCGGAATTCCAGCGGGAATTCCTGCGCCTCCTCCTCCTCCTCCTCCTCCACGCCGTTGGGATAGACCTTGACGGGTCTCCTCTTGCGCCCCACGGGTTTTCCCCATCGGAAATGCTCCATGGAATACGAGCGCTTCCCGTCCTCCTTCCCGCCGGGAACGGGGTTGGCTCCCGGCTCTTCCCGCCGCTGGGAATTCGGGAGGTTCCCGGCTCCCTCTTCCCGCTTGGAAGTGCCGCTGCTGGAGCTGTTCCCGTGGGCGCGGCCGAATTTATTCCATCGGAAGTGGCTCATGACGTACCTGCGGATGCTCTCGGAGAGCGGCTGGAATTGCCCATTCCCGGGAAAAAGCGGCGCTTCCAAGGAAAGGTCGGCTCGGCACGCGGCGGCGCATTCCTGGATTAAAGGAAAGGTGGGAATTCCATGAGGAGGGGGAGTGGGATGCTCCAAAGGGAGCCTGGGATGAGGGAGGAAAGGGACATCTGGATTGTGGGAGAGTCCCGAGTGTTGGGAGTTTTCCAGGGAATCCTGGAGTCGTGGGATGGGTTGGGTGGGAAGGGACCTTGGAGGTCATGGAATTCCGACCCCGGCGTCTCCCGCTATCCCAGGGAATCCAACCTTTCCTTGGACACTCCAGGGATCCAGGGGCAGCCACAGCTTCTCTGGGAATTCCAACCCAGCCGGGAATTCCTTCCCAATCTCCCCCCCATCTCTCCCCTTTCCCAGTGGGATCCATTCCCTGGGTCCTGTCATTCCAGGCCCTGATCCCCAGTCCCTCTCCAGCTCTCCTGGAGCCCCTTCAG